CTCGAGCCGCCCCTGACCGTGCAGCACCGAGGCGTACTGGTGGCTCACCTGGCGGGCTCCCCCTCCCCAGCCTCGTGTCTGTTTTCCCTCCAGAGGGGGCCCTCCTGGAGGAGGGAAACTACGACGTCCTCTTCCCCCACTGCGCTCCCTCCCAAAACCTCCTCCGTACACTTCATCTGGGAAGAGATCTCCTGAAGAAGGATAGGAGGGGTGTTTTCCTCCCACCTTCGCCACCTTAGCAAAGCCGCTTGGGGCAGGGAAGATGTGTGTACGTTGTCGCTGTCGTCCGCGGATGAAAGAGGCGGCCCTGGCGGTGTCAGAACACGACCTCACCGTAAATGTGATGTCGTCTCGTCTCGCCACACCCCCCCCAACCCTCCCCCGCGACGGCTCTGCCCCCAAAATGGCCGCGATGATTCTCATTTCACGGTCCTCGAGCAACGGACGCCCAGCGGCCGATGTGTCATCTCGACCAGCTCTCGTTGAAAGCCCCAGGCGCAGTAACGAGACCACTGCCAGCCGAACGTGCCAACACAACCTTCGGCCGTGATTGTGCTGCGGCGCGAGGGGATTTGCTCTGGTATCCGCATTTTTTGGCGGCGAGCGAGGGGGGGAAATGAACAGGAGAAGATCTCCTTTGAGGGCCGCGGGACTTCTCAGAAGCCCATCGCGCCTTCTGGGCGCGCCGCCTACTTTTAGGTCGGGCACGTCCCCCTACAGGTGGATTTTGGAGGAAGCATAAAACACACGCAACACAGAATCAAACACATTCAAGCAGCTACGCTCAACGAAACATCCTCAAAACCATTGTTCTTTCATGTCTCGAATGCTCCTCCTGTAGAGGGACACGCCCGACTCCACACGTCCCCCCCAAGCGCGCCGCTTAACTCTGTTGGAATAACAATCATCCGCGCCCCCGCCGCCTCCCAGGTTTTTGAACTTCGCCCCGGGCCCGTTGCCAACGGCCATCTTAGGGCCCGACGGACCCCCCGGACACCGAGGCAAGCCGAGGGAGAACGCCGACGCCTTCTAGCTTTGGGGCGGTCTTCCTCCTCTTCCTCCTCCTCCTCCTCCTCCTCCTCCTCAGCATCAGCATCAGCATCAGCATCAGCATCATCATCATCATCATCGTCATCATCATCACCACCAGCATCATCAGCATCATCATCAGCATCATCAGCATCATCAGCATCATCAACAGCATCAACAGCATCATCAGCATCATCATCATCATCATCATCATCATCATCATCATCATCATCATCATCATCATCATCATCATCATCATCATCATCATCATCATCATCATCATCATCATCATCATCATCATCATCATCATCATCATCATCATCATCATCATCATCATCATCATCATCATCATCATCATCATCATCATCATCATCATCATCATCATCATCATCATCAGCTTTCCCCCTCTCCCTACTCCTCCTCATCCTTCCTCCTCCTGCTCCTCCCTCCTCCTCCTCCTCCTTCTCCTCCTCCTCCTCCCTGCTCCTCCTCCTCTTCTCCCTCCTCCTCGTCCTCCTCCTCTTCCTTCTCCTCCTCCTCCTCCTCCTCCTCCTCCTCCTCCTCCTCCTCCTCCTCCTCATCATCCTTCTCCTCGTGACGGTGACGTTGCTGGGTTTCGTCTTCGCCCGAACGCAGCCATCATCCCCCCCCCGTGGGCGACAGTCCTCGGGGGGGTGCTCGAGCGAGTTCTGTCTCGACCAAAACCGCGGACACGGGGATGGCGTCCTCGGAGGGGCGGAGGTTAGCGATGTCGCCTTCCTCCTCCTGCAAACCCGAGACAGGTCCCGGCGCCTGCGCACACATGCGCACCTGCCTCCCCTGACCGCCGCCGAGAAAAACGACGAAGACAAACACAATAGCGGTGACTCGGCAGGCGGTCGCGAGCCCCGTTCGCCGTCCCAGCCCAGCCAGGCCGGCCCAAACCAGCTGGGCCGCTGCCGCATGCTCTTCTGGGTTGAGCGGACTTCGACCCACACAGATCGCAGCGTCAGTCCACCTCCTCCTCCTCCTCCTCCTCCTCCTCCTCCTCCTCCTCCTCCTCCTCCTCCTCCTCCTCCTCCCCCTCCTCCTGCTCCTCCTCCTGCTCCGCCTGCTCCTCCTCCACCACTCCTCTCCCTCTTCCACCTCTTCCCCGTCCCCTCCTCCTCCTACTCCCTCTCCTCCTCCTCCCTCATCTCCTCCCTTCCTGCCTTTCCTCCTCCTCCTCCTCCTCCTCCCCTCCTCCTCCTCACTATCCTCCTGATTGTCCCCCATGAACCTCCTCGTCCTCCTCTCCTCCTCATTATCCTCCTCTTCCTCCTCCTCCCCCTCCTCCTCCTCCTCCTCCTCGTCCCCCTCCTCCTCGTCACTATCCTCCTCATTATCCACCTCGTGATTATTTTCCTCATCCTCCTTTGCCTCCTCTCCTCAGGCCGGCGCCGTGCCCGCCACCATGGGGCGGCGCCCTTTCTCGCGGGCAGCGTCCCGCAGATGGGGGGGGGGCGCGAGCAGTAGCAACGAGTAACGATCGATCGACGATCGATGACCGGCATGGCCGGATGTGACAAGCGACCCGATCGGCGCGAGCCGTCGCCCCCCCCCCCCCCCACCCATGGAGTAGTTCTTGGCTGTTTTTTGGCGCCTGCTTCGAGCAGGTGGAGCCCCTCCCCCACAGGACACACAGCTGCAAACAATCGCAGTAAGCAGAGGTCCGGAACCAAACCCCTCTCCCCCCCCTCCCCTGCCACCCAATGTCTAAACGCCGAATCAAAAAACGATCGGTGTCAACGTTTTCGTATTCAGCGTCACCAGCGTCGCTACGAATCTCGTAATTGTGCTCACCGTTGTCGACATTACCATGATGCCGCGCCCGCCCAAGTCACCGACTCGCGCTGAAGTGCCCGCTGGGAGGTGCCTAGCGGTCAGCGCCTCCGCGGCCGCGTCGGTAGCGCCGCACTAGCTGGCCGCTGCGCGCGCGGAAGCGCGCGGGCTGGCGCGGCCGCAGAGATGCACCAGCCAACGCCGAACACTCATTGCAATCGCCGTCGCATGGTTTTGCAGAACAATATTGCGGGTGGGCGGGTGGGATGATTGCGCGAGCAGTGGAACTGACAACTGCGAGTTCCACTAATGAACGGCACCGCGTAGATTGCGCCGCGCTGATGAACCCCGCATCAATCGCACAGCATGCGCTGCGCGTCGTAATTCGCAGCGTCTCCACATCGCAACATGGGTTGCACAACGCAGCTGCTACGCGACACGTCGATTTTGCAACATAGATTGCCTCGCATAATTGCACGACGCACATTGGCTGGAGCCGCCCATCGGAATGCACGGCGGCAGCGCGATACCCTCGGCGTAGACGACGGCCAGGCCAGCCACCATCCACAGCGGAACGCCCCGCAATGCGTGCAGACCTCCTGGGCGCGCGAGACAGGCGGGGTAGCGGCGCCTGTCAGCGCCAAAGGGCGGGCTTGCAACCCCCCGGGCAGCGCCTGTCAAAATGGCCGAGCCATGGAGGGGGGCCCGACAAGTCGACGGGCTTCGCGCAGCAATCGCAGCTGGTCCGCGCCGCTTCACCAGCCCATGGCTTCCCGGGAAAGGCGAGGGCCCAGCGGGGGGCGCGCGCGGCCAATCGATCTGGCGCGCCCTCCTTCTTATGCCATCCACCGCTGCCGCTGGAAACGCCAATCCCCTTCAAAAAAATGCCCCCGTCCTGCTCCCCCGCCGATGGCCCAGATGAGCCGCGTCTGATTGTCGCCCGTTGCCCCCCCGCCCCCCCCGCGAGTTCTCGCCGGGCTCGGGCGCCAGCGCGACCGAGGTTAGCGACGCGACATTGAATCTCATTCGCTCTACCCTGGCCAGACGCTGGGCGACGCAGAAGAACTGTCGCCCGTCGATCTGGACGAGTCAGCAGCAGCAGGGCGAGACCCGAGAATGCGATTGGCGGCGCAAGCGTTCCGGTGCCGCGCCCTCCGAGCCGGCGCGCGAGCGAGCGGCGGTGGGGCCCGGGGTCGCTGAGCCTGCAGGACATCGACACCTCTCGCCCCCCTGCTCGCCCCCCGCGTGAGAAGCTCGCGCCAGCCTGAGCGGCGCGGCGGGCGCGTCGGCTAGGATGGCCGGCCTCAAACTCCCGATGCTGAACGTCTCGGGGGCGCGCTTGGGACTCGCGCGCCCTCTGGGACCACGGGGCCTCCATTGGCGAAGCGAGATGTCATGTATATATATATATATATATATATATAGTTGTTTTGTTGCTCTCTCGTCGCGCGTGGAATCTCTGGGGGCCTGGGCCTCGACGCGGGCGGTCGCCCGCGCCCGTGAGAGCGCCCAGTCAGGCCGCACGCGCTAGAACCTGTCAGCGACAGCAGCGGCATCAGATCGGGCATCTGGTGGGGCCACAATTAAACCGTTGAGCGCATCTGCCCATCCTGGAGACTGGGCGCGGAGTGGGCGAGGGGCGCGCTGGGCCTCGGCTGGCTGCACGAAGCGCCGCTTTTCTATGCCCGGCACATTCAAATTGGCACGGGCGACCAAGAGGCAAGAGTCGGCGGGGGGCCGCCGCGGGGGCCCGATTCCGATCTACGTCACCGCACGCATCCCGAGCTCGATGGCGAGGATAAATGTGGTTCTGAATATTCCGACGCATCGAGCGAGCGCCCGCTTGATGGGCGGACACGCGCAAAGCTCGGCCAGGAACAGTGGGCGATTGGAAAGCAGAGACTGGCGCCTACAGAGGGACTCAGGTTTCCTCGTAGGGTTCATGTTCGAATCTTGCGGCGACGAACACCATGCGCGCGCGCGCGTCGCGCGCCCGCGCGCGATCAGACGCGCGCGGACACGCGCGGCGTTAAACTTCAGAAGATCCGATTGGGAGTACACGTCTAGAAATGCGCCACTCCTGATTCGATCGCCGAGGGGGGCGGGTGGCCGCGAAAAGACCTCGTTTCCGCTTCTGGCATTTAAAAGGTGTAACTGGGGACGTTTGAATCATCTTCGCCACAGGCGCCTTCAACGACTCGGGAGGCTCCAGCCTGTCTTGTCGCTAGATCCGTGGCGTCTGTGACCCTGAGTTACTGAAGGCACCGGGAGGGGCCTTCGCGCGCCCTCGGCAGGTGTGCATTGGGAAAAAGAACGCAACATACAGACATCGAACTTGTGAGAAGGCGCGCGGGTACGCTCTCTTTGGGGCAGCGACGCCAGGAAGAGCGAGGGGGCAAGGATTTCGCGAGTGGGGCGGCAACTTAAATCGCAAGAGAAACCTGAGCCTGTCTGTAGGCGTCGCGAGCAGACGACGCGCGATTGGGGGGCCGCGGCGCCGGGAGGAAGAGAAGAGGAGGCGCGGCCGTTCACGGACAGGCCAGGGGCGACAGTGGCCACCCCGCCGCGGACGCGCCCCTCGCGGCCCTCCTCGCAAGTGCTCGAAAAGATTGCAGCTCAAGGGGGGGCCTGCTAGAGAATATGAACAATCGCTCGACGCACTGGTGAATCTCCCGCAAGAGGGTGACTGACGAGCCCTGTCGATGCCTCTGGAGGCGCCCCGATTTGACTTCAGCGCGAGCACCCCGGAAACGAAGGGGAACGCGCGCGTTCCAGGGCGCGCGGCCGAAGCGCCCGGGGTCGGGGGCATCGCGCGCGCGAAGGGGGGGGGCGCCTGATTCAGGGCGGCAGATGCGCTGCGCGTGCCGCTCGGGCTCCTGCGCGATCTCCTGTGGCGCGTCGCGCAGATGCTGCGCTGTCGCAGCCCTCCTGGCGACGGTCCACGCGCCCCACCTGGGGGGCGCGGGGGCGCGGCCGGCCTGCGCTTCAGCTTTGCATGGGGCGCCCCTTCCAAGCGATGGTCCACCACTATCTCTGCCAACTGGTGCCCTCTGGACTTCGCCGAAGTCGGGGTGGCGATTTTGATCTTCCTGAGGGCGACCTCCATCTCGATCTGCCTGGGGTTCTCGCCCGCCGAGATGCGGGGGCGGGCGGGCCCGCCGACGTGGGGGTCGACTGCGGGCATTGACCGACGGCCGTCCTTACGGAGTTTCGAGAGCACCTTGCTGAAACGAACGGTGGACATCTTGGACATGGGGCCGGCGGGCCCGAGCGGCCAGCGGTCGCCGAAGGTGCGCGCGCGTCGACGCCGAGCCCCGGAATGCCAGCGTCTGCTTGACGGTAAACGAACTTGCCTGCATTGCTGCAATGGATGCACGCGCCAATGTCGCGGCCGAAGTTGCCAATGCCTGAGTGCGCACGAGGTCGGGTGGTCAGCAACCGCCACGGCCCCGTCGAGCTTCTTGCACTGGGGAAATCGTATTTCGAACAGTTAACCATCTTGAGATGCGCGCTGGTCGATATGGTGATGCCCCGCTGCGGGCTGTCGTAACGTGACGCGAATTACCTCCAGAGGTCGTCCACCCTACAAGAGGGCGGTCGACATGACATGCTGGTCGATCTGGGTCGGCATCGTCGGGGGGTCAGCCTGGCAGAGCGCCGCGCGCTCCTCGGAATGATTCCTGCAGTTGTCGTGGGCGGGCGCTGTGGGGGCGCGGACAGCGGGCTCGACGGACGCGGTGGCTCTTGAAGATGGCCTGCTTCTCGTCCGGGCAACTCGCGCAGGCCGACTGAATGTGCTTGACAATGTGGAAGTCGGCGCCATCGAGTTCCTCGTCGCTGGAACAACCCATGCGCATGGGGGCAGGACCGGGCAGGACCAACAAAGCCTGCAACATCAAAAGCACGGGGCGTAACACCAAGAAACGCAAGAGGATAAACCCAACGGTCTTCTCCATGCTGCGCATGGCAGAGAGGGCGCAATTGTAGGACATGCCGTTGCGCCTACAAGTGCAACCAGAAGACAATGGCTGTTTACCCGTAGCTGCGGGTGCCACGAGGCCAGGGAAAAAACCAGGCACCCGGCCGCTGGGCACCTCACCGTGTGGTTCGAGGGGTGAAGACGTTACTGGTCCAGCCTCGGAACAAGGGCGCCCTTTCTTATCTCCCATGGGAAGCCAGAGTCTTGAACCAAAATGTCTACGGAAAGGGTGGAAAAGCGACAGAAGAAGAATGCCCCTCGATCTTCGGTCCCTCGACAAACGACTCTTTCCCCTCCGGCCGATGCGGTCCAGAAGGAGGACGGGAAAAACAAAAACAATGAGAATGATGAGGACGTGATGCAAGTGAAAGCGAAAAAGGGGCAAGAAGGAGGATGCTGATGATGCTGGCGTGGGTGGCTGAGGGAGGGGCTGCGGGGCTCGACAATTATCGCGAAGATGGGGTGGAGGAGGAGCATGATCAGGAACAACACGAGGAGGGGAAGAACGAGGCGGATGAGGAGCAATAGCGTCACACATCAGAAGCCGCACCCGTCCCCTCATTGTCCCCTTACTTGTTCTCCTCCCTCATTCTTTCATTTTGCATCGACATCATCCCCCTCGTCCTCCTCTTCTTCATCATCGCCGTTATCATCACCAAAACCGTCATCACAAACGCCGCCCTTATCTTCATATTCCTCCACGTTCCCTCGCCTCACCGTCATCATACTCAATGTCATCCTCATGATCCTTCTCCTCCGCATCATCATCAGCAAGGTCATCATCATCGACAAATGGTCTATTTCCTCCCCCCATCTATCCATGTCCGCTCTGAGCTCCTTGTCCTCCACCGACGCATCCGCATCCGCATCGGCACCCGCATGTTCCTCACCCATAGGAGCGAAGAGGGAAGGGGGAGGAGCAGGACTATGATGACCATGGTGGGGGTGATGCAAATTATGGGTAGCAGATGACGGGAAGGAGGAGGAGGAGGAGGAGGAGGAGGAGGGGGAGGAGAAAGACGATGGGCCGCAGGAGTGTGAGGGCCGTGATGGTGATGATGGCGATGGCGGTTGGGATGATGTGCTTGCGATGGTCACGGCGAGGAGGCGGCGGGCGAGGTGCATGGGGAAGGTGGCGTCGATGGGATAAAGCATGGCCGCAATGCATTGGCAACAGACAAGCTGCTTGAACCTATTGGTTTCGAACTCCATTCAAACGCGAAGCTGTCGCAGCGTCGACGATAAGGGTCACGACCAGACCCCGAAAATGAAAAACAAGAAAAGGTGCCACGACGAGGCACGAAACAACACAAATTTGGTCGAACAACAAAATCACCTTGAAACAAGCAGAAGCGGAACTGCAAGAGGTGCCCGCGGTCGTGCTTTTGGTCGTGCTGGTGGTGTTGCTGGTGGTCGTGCTGGTGGTCGTGCGGGCGGTCTTTCTGATGGTCGCGGTGGTGGTCGTGCTGGGGGTCGTGCTGATGGCCGTGCTGGTGGTCGCGCTGGTGACCGCATTGGTGGTCGTTATTGTGGTCATGACGGGCGTGTGCTGGCCATTGTGCTGGTGATCGTGCTGGTGGTCGTGCTGCGGTTGGTGGTCGTACAAGGTGTCGTGTTGGTGGTCTTGCTGGTGGGCGCGCTGCTGGTCGTGCTGGTGGTCGTGCTGATTGTTGTGCTGGTGGTCGTGCTGGCGGTCGTGCTGGTGGTCGTGCTGGTGGTCGTGCTGGTGGTCGTGCCTGACGGTTGTGCTGCTGGTTGCGCAAGAGGTGGTCCTGGTGGTCGTATGGGTGTTCGTGCAATTGGTCGTGCATGTGGTCGGGCTGGAGGATCTGCTGGTCGTCTTGCTGGTGGTTGTGCTGGTAGTTGTGCTGGTGGCTGTGCTGGTGGTCGTGCTTGTGGTCATGTTGAAGGATTTGGTGGCAGTCGTACTGGCGGTCGTGCTGGTGATCGTGCTGGTGGCGTACTGGGGGTCGTGCTGATGCTCGTGCTGATGGCAGTGCTAGTGGCCGTGCTGGCGTTCGTGCTGGTGGTCGTGCTGGTGATTGCCCTGGTGATCGTGCTGGCAAACGTGGGGTTATGGTCCTGGTTGGTGCTGGTGTTAGTGCTGGCGGCCTTGCTGCTGGTCCTGCTGGCGGTAGTTCTGGTGAACGTACTGGCGGTCGCGGTGGTGGTCGTGCTGGTAGTCGTGCTGGCTGTCGTGCTAATGATTGTCCTGGTGCTCGTGCTGTTGGTCGTGCTGGTGGTCGTGCCCGCGGTCGTACTGATGGTCGCACTGGCGGACGCGCTGGCGGTCGCGGTGGTGGTCGTGCTGGTAGTCGTGCTGGGGGTCGCGCTGATGGCCGTGCTGGTGCTCGCGCTGGTGGCCGCGTTGGTGGTCGTTCTTGTGGTCGTGCTGTTGGTCGTGCTTGTGGTCGTGCTGGTGGTCGTGCTGGTGGTCGGGTTGGTGGTCTTGTTGGTGGTTGTGCTGGTGGTCGTGCTGGTGGTCGTTCTGGTGGTCGCGCGCCGGTGATCCTGCTGGTGCTCACGCTGTTGGTCGTGCTGGCGTTCGCAGTGGTGGTCGTGCTGGCAATTGTGCTGATGATCGTGCTGGTGGTCGTGCTGGTGGTCGTGTTGGCGGGCTTGCTGGTGGTTGTGCTGGTTGTCGTGCTGGTGGTTGTGCTGGTAGTCGTGCCCGTAGGAGTTCTGGTGGTCGTGGTGGTGGTCGTGCTGGGGGTCGCGCTGATGGTCGTGCTGTTGTTCGCGCTGGCGGTCGTGCCGGCAATCGTGCTGAAGGTAGTGTTGGTGGCCGTGCTTGCTGATGGATGTGCTAGTGGATGTGCTGGTGGTCGTGCTGGTGGTCGTGCTGGTGGTCGTGTTGGTGGTCGTGGTCGGGGTCGTGCTGGCGGTCGCAATGGTGGTCGTGCTGTTTCTGGCGGAACCACCAAGCGCAAGCGAATGACAACAAATGCTGTAACGCTACTGGGGACAAGCGAAGCGTTCAAGGTATTGTCTGAGGTGTCTCGTTTCCTTTGTGTTTTCGTATGAGGGTTGTGTTTCGTGAAACTGCTGTCCCTTTGGGGGTCTGTTCTGACGTGCTTCGTGGTTTGGATGGTTCGTGCGCGTGTGATATGCAGTGTTTCGTAGGTGCGGGGTTGGTTACCTAACATCGAAGACTGGTAGGTTTCTAATGGTCTAAAAAGAGCAGCACATTACTCCAACATTACTCCAACATTACTCCACAGGGGGGTCTGGGCAGCCGTTGGGGAGCCGTTGGGGGCCGTTGGGGAGCCGTTGGGGGGCCGTTGGGGTTTGCCGGGGGGGATCGTTTTTCGCATACAGTCACACACTTCGTGCTTTTCGATTTCCCAGAACTCCATTCCCGGGCCACATTCTGAATGCCCGGAGCCAACTGTAGGCCACTTCGTGCTCTTCGACTTCCCAGAACTCCATTCCCGGGCCACATTTTGGATGCCCGGAGCCAACTGTAGGCCACTTCGTGCTCTTCGAGTTCCCAGAACTCCATTCCCGGGCCACATTTTGGATGCCCGGAGCCAACTGTAGGCCACTTCGTGTTCTTCGAGTTCCCAGAACTCCATTCCCGGGCCACATTTTGGATGCCCGGAGCCAACTGTAGGCCACTTCGTGGTCTTCGAGTTCCCAGAACTCCATTCCTGGGCATGATTTTGAATGCCCGGAGCCAACTGTAGGCCACTTCGTGTTCTTCGAGTTCCCAGAACTCCATTCCCGGGCCACATTTTGAATGCTGAGGCAGGCTGAGCTGAGGCTGAGGCTGAGGCAGGCTGAGGCTGAGGCAGGCTGAGGCTGAGGCCGAGGCTGAAGGCAGACTGAGGCTGAGGCTGAAGCAGGCTGAGGCTGAGGCAGGCTGAGGCTGAGGCTGAGGCAGGCTGATGCTGAGGCAGGCTGAGGCTGAGGCTGATGCAGGCTGAGGCTGAGGCAGGCTGAGGCTGAGGCTGAGGCCAAGGCTCAAGGCAGACTGAGGCTTTGGCTGAAGCAGGCTGAGGCTGAGGCTGAGGCTGAGGCTGAGGCAGGCTGAGGCTGAGGCTGAGGCAGGCTGAGGCTGAGGCTGATGGCAGGCTGAGGCTGAGGCTGAGGCTGAGGCTGATGCAGGCTGAGGCTGAGGCAGGCTGAGGCTGAGGCCGAGGCTGAAGGCAGACTGAGGCTGAGGCTGAAGCAGGCTGAGGCTGAGGCTGAGGCAGGCTGAGGCTGAGGCTGAGGCAGGCTGATGCTGAGGCAGGCTGAGGCTGAGGCTGAGGCTGAGGCTGAGGCTGAGGCTGAGGCTGAGGCCGAGGCTGAAGGCAGATTGAGGCTGAGGCTGAAGCAGGCTGAGGCTGAGGCAGAGGCAGGCTGAGGCTGAGGCTGAGGCAGGCTGAGGCTGAGGCTGAGGCAGGCTGATGCTGAGGCAGGCTGAGGCTGAGGCTGAGGCTGAGGCAGGCTGAGGCTGAGGCAGGCTGAGGCTGAGGCCGAGGCTGAAGGCAGACTGAGGCTGAGGCTGAAGCAGCTGAGGCTGAGGCTGAGGCAGGCTGAGGCTGAGGCTGAGGCAGGCTGATGCTGAGGCAGGCTGAGGCTGAGGCTGAGGCTGATGCAGGCTGAGGCTGAGGCAGGCTGAGGCTGAGGCCGAGGCTGAAGGCAGACTGAGGCTGAGGCTGAAGCAGGCTGAGGCTGAGGCTGAGGCAGGCTGAGGCTGAGGCTGAGGCAGGCTGATGCTGAGGCAGGCTGAGGCTGAGGCTGAGGCTGATGCAGGCTGAGGCTGAGGCAGGCTGAGGCTGATGCCGAGGCTGAAGGCAGACTGAGGCTGAGGCTGAAGCAGGCTGAGGCTGAGGCTGAGGCAGGCTGAGGCTGAGGCAGGCTGAGGCTGAGGCTGAGGCAGGCTGAGGCTGAGGCTGTGACTGCGACTGCCGTTGCCACTGCGACTGTCATCGCGAATGCGACTACGACTGCGAGAACAGCAGAATTCTACAACTGGATTCGCATCCGAATCTTAAGGGGAATGCTTCCAGATGTGCTCCTACACATCGATGTTAGGTTGCTTTGCCGGGATAGTTTTTTGCTAATTGAAAAATGCTGTATTGATAGATGGTGGAGTTGGATATTGATCATTGATCGTGGTTGATGGTTGGTGTTAGTTATTGATGGGTCGTTGCTTAGGTGCTGTGGTCATTCTTCGTGTTTGATGGCATGGAGGGGTCTGCTTTGATGTGTTTCGCGCACTTTATGGTTATGGGGGCACTCTGTTGCGCTGTGCGTCGTAAGCTTGCTGTGTTCGTTGGCGGGAGTGTGTGGTTAGCTTGGTTTCGCAGACTTGACGAGTTTTGATGGGAGTCTGTTTCGATTAGATTCACAACGTCGAAGTTTTTGTTTGTTGGTGAGGGTATGGTTTGTTTGGAACTGAAGAATTCATGTTTTGGTGTCGCTTTGTTTGGCTGGGTGTTGCAAGCTTGCTATGTTATTTGTTGTTCGGGGTGGGGAGGGGGGGCTCTGTCTTGTTCGGTTTCGAACAGTTGCTGGCTCAAGGAGGGGTCTCATGAAATTTGTTTCGCAAGCTTGATTGTGTTGGGGTGTTGCTTTTCTTGCCTTCGCAGATTTGATGCCTTGCTCATTGGGTATGTGATGCTTGGTTTCCCAAGCTTGAATGTGTTGTTGCGCTTGGGAGGAGGTTATGTGTTGGTTGGGTTTGCCGTTCTGGGGGGTACAGAGACGCGCCCCTCTGTGAAATCGAAGTGGGCTGACACAATGGTAGATAGACGTATATGTTTACACATAGCTCTGTGTGTGCGCATATCTCTCTCTATATATATATATATACATATGTATACAGTTGTGCACCGCATGCCACACATTTGTATATATCATTATGCTGTTCCGCCCTCCCCCCCATCTCCGCCGCTCTCCACGTCGCCAATTTTCGCCACCTTCAGTGAGCTGGTTATGCCAAAGGTGCTCAGAGAGTACTGCGTCGGCAGCATGGATACAGCTCACCAGACGCGGGGGCGACCATAGCTGGGGAGAAAACCCTGTCTGCTCGGGGGAGCCTGGAGCACCCTTGCGAGCCAGACGATGGGGTGAAACGCCTAACGCGACAGTGGACGCTGGACCCATAACAGCAGAAACACATGGATCCAAGGGCCGTGTTGCCCATCGCCCATCTAGGAGGCCACATGCGAACCTTTCCCCTTCGGCCCACGATCTCCGAGGGGAGAAGTGGAATTCACTTTTGTTCGGGACCTCCCGAGCGAGGTGAACCCCATCTCCTCACTTAGAAATCGTGAGGTGGTGGGGTATGGTGCACGGTTTCCCCCCGGGGCCGTAGGCGACCCGAGGAGGAGGAGGAGGAGGAGGAGGAGGAGGAGGAGGAGGAGGAGGAGGAGGAGGAGGAGGAGTAGGAGGAGAAGGAGAGGAGGGGAGGGGGAGGGGGAGGGGGGGAGGAGGGGGGGATGGGAGGAGGGGGGGGAGGAGGAGGAGGAGGAGGAGGAGAGAGGAGAGGAGGAGAGGAGGAGGAGGAGGAGGAGGAGGAGGAGGACGGGTCGCCAAAGCCCTTCGGAAAAATCCTCCAGGGTACGGTTCGCACGTCGCCTCCTACCATCGCTGGCCCGTGAAACTGGCGCGGCAGACTCCCGCTGACTCCAGACGGCAAAGCCAAACGCCAGCGTGTCCACGCGCCTCACAAGGAGACAATCGTGCGTTGCATCGGCCAATGATCCGAGCCTGTCCAGCCGTGCCGACGAGGAGCCTCCCGAGGCCCAGCAGAGCTCAGAAAGGCGAGCGCGTAGACAGGCAGGAACGCAGCGAAGGCCGACCGACCGGCTCCCTCGCCAGTCGGGCGTGAGCCGCAGCACGAGCCAGCCAGCGCAGCGTGTGCGGAGCCGCAGCAGCGGCCCGCTCCAGGCATTGAGCAGGGACCAACCGTCCCGGCATTCCTACGGGTCTGCAATGCGATATTCTAAGAACAGAAGAATCTAGTAAGAGCGAGAACAACGTTCTAGGAACAGGAAGCCGACATAGTAAAACACTCCAGTCGCAGCAAGACATCTTGTAACAACATGTCGCACAAAGTACAAACGGTTCAACACATATTCTTTGGTGGGCCTATAAACAAGCCAGGACGCTTCGCCACTGCTTGGTCCATGCAACAAGCGGCAGATGGCCAGAGGAGCCATGTGAGCCGCAGGCTCCGCTTCGGCTTCCTTGCCGGGGACCGCAGCCCACCTGCCATGTGCCGCCGTCGCCGCGTGCCCCGAGACCCGCCCCCAGACCCACGAGATCATGAACTTCTCAAACCTCCGAGAGGTCTCGACCCACTCCCCCAGGGCTGGCGATTCACCCTGAGACCATCCTTGACGGCCCCGGGGCCCAGCGAATGCCCCCCGGAGCCCGAAAAAAACAGCAGATGGTCCATCGTGATCTTCTCGTGATCCGATGGGTCTGGGTTCTGGTCGGGCATGTCCCCCTACAGCCAGATTTTCGACGAGAGGTTACAAATACAACAAATGCAGCGAAATAACCAAACATTGTGAAACGATCGTCCCCATAGTCAAACATTGCAACAACAATCTTCCCCATACTATGTTTGATTTGTTGTTGAATATCCTTCCTGTAGAGGAACATTAGACCTGGGTGAGGGCCGCGCGGGCGAGCCGCGCGCCACGACGAGCTCGCCATGCCCCTGGCGCGGGCGGAGCAGGGACCGACCGTCCCGGCATTCCTACAGACCCACCACGACATGTTCTCAGAACCCAGAGGTTCTAGGAACAGAAACAGTGTCCTTAGAGCATAACCCCGACGCTTTACAACGAGACAGCCCCAGCCCGAAATGTTCCAAGAACATGTCGCACAGACCACCAAAGGTTCTCCGAAGATTCTTTGGCAGGCCTATAGGCGAGCCCGGACGCTTCGCCACTGCTTGAGCGGGCAGGCCCCTCTACGGCTTCGGCGGCCCCGGCTGCGGCCCCTTCGGGGTGCCGACGCGGCTGCTGCCCGCGCAGGTGCTGTCCGCGGCGCTGGCCGTGGGCCCGTCCTTGCTGCCGCGCGGAGCCGGCGGCGCCGGCGCGGAGACCTCCTCGATGCTCGCGGCGCCGCTGCTGGAGCCGCTGCTGGAGCCGCTGCTGCTGCTGCTGCTGCTGGAGCGGCTGGAGTCCGGGGGCGTGATGGAGCCCGCCCAGGACTCCGGCCTAGCGCTGCCCGCCGCGGCGGCGCCCAGCAAGCCGGCGGCGGCGGCGCGCGACAAGGCCGCTGGGCCTCCGCCCTGCGGCTCCAGCTGCAGCCTGGGCGGCTCGGGCTCGGGCGCCGTCGCCGGCGGCGCCGCCGCGGCGGCCGAGGCCGCGCCCCGCAGCGTGCCGGCCCAGGGCTCGTAGACGCTCTTGGGGCTGGGCGTCCGCTGGCGCAGGCCCACAGCGGCGGGGCCCGCGGCCCTGTGCGCGGGGGGCGCGCGGCCCTCCTCGGGCTGGGGCGCGGGCGCCACCGTGCCGCGCTTGGCCTGCCTCCGGGAGTGGAGCTTGAAGGCCTGCAGGCAGCCCAGGGGGCACACGGCGCACGCCAGCACGAAGGCGGCGAGGCCTCCGGCGTAGAGCCACAGCTGTGAATGCCCCCCTTCGGCGGAGGCCGCAGCCTCGGTGGCCGCATTGCCCTGCGACAGCCAGGAGACGAAGAGCGTCCTGGTCGTCGTGCTCGTACTCGTGGTCACTGTCGTGGACGTGGTCGAGGTGGTGCTGGTGCTCGTCGGCAATGGCTCGAAGGTTGGCGCGGGCGTGGGGTCCACTTCGAAGAGCGACTGCAAGCCATCGCACTCACCAGTCGCTGGCAGTTCGTACAGCGTGCCAGACATGCCGTCGAGCAGCTGCCATGGCGCAGCGCCCGCGGGGGTGTCTACACGAAACAGTAGCCGCAGCGTGGTATCGTCGCCGATGGTCAGCAAATTCTGCGAGGGGCCGTCGCGCGCACTGGCGACCCAGATGCCGTCCAGGGGGAGCAGAGCGCCCCCAAGGCCGCCGACGGCGACATCCTCTGAGGGGCAACGATACAGTCGGGGCCCTGAAGAAGGAACCCTTTTCGTTGGGGAGGGGCTCCGCGTTCCTTAAGTGTTTCGCAGCTTGCCTCAGGTTTTCCTTATGTTTTCGGTACGAAATCGAAGTTTAACTCATGGAAAAAAGGGGCCTCGTTCCTTATTTTGGGTTCCTTAGGTCAAGCCCCCGACTGCAGGGGGGGAAACATCGACCTGGAATCGGCGATACATCGCCGAATGATTGGCCATAGGCCTCCGGTTGTGAATCCGCACCCTCCTGGGGGCAGCTTGGGGCTATCGGGTCCCTATCGGCGATCAGTGGGCGATTGGGGGTCGATGCATCCCCCCCTATGCCTACCCCTCCCCCCCCTAGCGCTGCCCCAGATCCTCCCACAGGGGCTCGCAGTCGGCCCGCCTGTGTCTCGTGGCATAGGCGATGGGCTCCTGCGGGAAGCCCGGAGGAATGAAGTCCGCTGGGCCCCCTTGTGGGACCACTAGGCCGCGGGGGGGGCCGCCGCTTCTGCCCCCCAGGCAAGAGCGGTCCAGTCCTCCGTTCCCCAGCCTCAGGACAAGCTCTTGCTCAACTCCTCTTCTTCCAGGGCGTCAGATGTTCGAGCAGGAGGCAACTGCTGGGAATGCGCGTTGCCGGGAACATGATATCCTTGACAACTTGCAACGAATGCGCGCTACTTGGGCCACACTCCGTCGTAAATCCCACCAGCCCTTTGGGCGTATAATCGTGTACCTCTGCTTTTATTCCCTCTCCCTGGGTCTGGAACATTCCCCCGCGGGTCTTTGGAGGGTCCGAGATGGCCCCGAGAGGGCCCTAGGTAGTCCAAGATGGCCTCCAGGATCGCACAAGATGGCGCAAGCGCCATCACAGTCGCAAGACGCCGAGTGGCACGGAGCCTCCAAACCCCACCCCCCGAACGGCCCAAATCCGTCCAAAACCAATAGGAATCAATCGGGTTTGCCGTCACGCCTATTCGCTTCGGATGCGATCTTGATGTCTCAAGGTAACTCCACGAGAGCCCCAAGGTAGCCCAAGAGCGCTCCGAGGGGGGCGTGACTGGCATAAGCGCCGCCCCCTTCTTTGATCGATGGCCCCAAAGACGGTCCCATGACGCCCCTCAAGGCCCCCAAGAAGGCCCAACGAGGAGCCCAAGAGGGACACAAGAGGGGGCCCAGAGAGCTTCCAAAGCATCCAAGATTGCCCCGAGAGGGCCTCAAAAGCATCCAAAGTGGCTCCAAGAGGGGCTCAGGGCGAAAGATCCGCAAAGGCCTTGGTGCTTGACTCTGGTGGTTCTTACTTGCATGAACAATGCTTGCACTTAGGGGGTCTTGCTCGTGTTGCTGAGGAAACGGATGGGTCTGGCCGAGGATTCGCCATGTTGCCAACCGCTGTCGCCTCGCTGCTGCTCGAGAGTCCGCAGAGGATTTGCCGCGTTGCAGCCCGTCGCCGCCTTCTTACCGCTCGATGCGCCTGCCGTTGGTTCGCCATGTCGCCGTCCGTTGCCGCCTCGCTGCCGCTCAGGCCCGCCGACGCTTCGCCGCGTTGCCGCCCGCTGCCGCCTGTTGTAGGCGCGCTGCCGCGTCACAAAAATACATCGCTTGCACCACGTCGGATGTCCTCTCGAAAGGAAAATCAGCCACCGGGCCCTTGAGGCTCGAATTGGAGTGCCCACAAGTTCTTGGCCTCCTCCTTTGAGCCTCAGCGCTGATCCTGAGGATTCTGTAGACAGCCCGGGCCCGAAATTGCCCGAAGCTTCCTGGGCTCCCAGCATGCCCTCCGGGGCCCGTCGCGTGATTCTTGTTCGGGCCCCAGGAGGGCCCCCAGACGAGCCGACAGGGCCCCAAAACGCCGCACAGACGGCCGAAAAGGGCCCCGGATCGCCGCACGATCGGTCCAAGACGCCCAGACATGGCCCCGAGACGGCCCAAGAAGCCGTCGAGGCGGCCCGAAGCTTTCCAAGAGGGCCCCGAGAGGCCCAAGACTCAAGACGGCCCAAGACGCCCTCGAGGCGCCCCGAAGCCTTCCAAGAGGGCCCCGCGAGGCCCACGTGAAGGCTTCGCCTTGGGCATCTCAATGTTGTGGGCGCCCTCGACTCTCCGAGCTTGCCACGCTCCAGGACGGCCCACGAGGCTCCCCAGACCGCCCCAAGGGGGTGCGCAGCAGCAAGTCGGGCGTGCCCTCCTACAGGCGGATCTGGGACGAAAAACAACAAAAAGCATCGAGAAAGGCCCCAAGGTGGACGAAAAAGAGATTCGAAAAATCGTCCCCGGCCTACTTATGCTTTGACTATCTTTGGATATCCCTCCTGTAGAGAGCTGGCCCCGAGTTCAACGCAGCAGGACTCCGGCCGGTGCCCACCCCGTGGGCGCCCCACCTCGAGGCCGCCCCGCGCCCGGGGTGCGCCCCGAGGGGGGCGGCTGCGGCGCCCGCGCGTGAGCGCCCGTGGCCCCCCGTGGGCGCCTTGTCCGTGGGCGCCCCCGTGCTTGGTGTGCGTTGTGTGTAATGTGTGTGCGTGCGTGTGTGTGTGTGTGTGTGTGTGTGTGTGTGTTGTGTTGTGTGTCTGTGTGTGTGTGTGTTGTGTGCGTGTGTTGCGTTGTGTGCTGTGTGTTGTGTGTGTTGTGTGCGTTGTTTGCGTTGTGTGTGTGTGTGTTGTGTGTGTGTTGTGTGTGTGTGTGTGTTGTGTGTGCGAATGCGTGCCCCGCTCCTGCCGCTGCCTCTGCCACCGTTCCCGCTGCCGCACGGCTCAGTGCTGTGCCTGCCCCTCGGCGCGCCGCGGCACCTCTGCCGCTCGTGGTGTCCCACGGCGCCCGTCTGCCAGCTCCAGCCGCTGGCAGCCGCCCTCCCGCCACCCTTGCCACCGTGCTTCGCCACGGCCGCCCACCGCGCTCTCTCCCTGCGCGCCTGGCTGCTGCTGCCCCCACCCCCTGGCTGATCATCGTCGAGCCCTTCGACGTTTGAGCGTCCCTTCTTCCTCTCGGCCGTCCCCTCCCCCCTCTCTGTGCCCGCCGGCCATTTCGCTTGTTGGTGCCCCTTTCTAGCTTCTCGCTGGAGCGGAGTTCGCCGCCTCGCCGCTGACGAATAAGTGTGTGTGTGAGTGTTACAGTGAGGACCAGTCCACAGCCTCCCACAAGAAGCCCAACCCTTAGACCCCAGGACATCCGTTGATTTTTTGTGGGAACGTCACGCTCTCCATCGCCAGACCATCGACACCCAGGAAGCCCAGGGCACCCTGGAGGCAAGCAGGGTGCTTCTTGGCATGGGCCCCCGCCTGTAGTGCCCGCCCGTGGGCGGAAGGAACGTTGAACATCCTCGGCGGACCCTCCCAACTACTTTTCGCAAGCGAAGGGCCCTCTCTTAGTGCAAGCACTGCCCGGAGAATCGAGGGGCACGCTTGTTGTCGACGGCGCCTGGGCTTCCCGGGGAGCCCCGGGAGCTTCCCGCGCCTCCCTTTGGGCCCTCGGGGGATGCGGAAGTGCAGGGGGGCAGCTGCTGGCGCCGGCTGGTGCTTCGTCTAACGCACCCACTGCGTTCTGCCCTCGGCTCCCACTCCTCCTCGTTCCTCCCACCCTCCTCCTCCTCCTCCTCCTCCTCCTCCTCCTCCTCCTCCTCCTCCTCCTCCTCCTCCTCCCCGCGCGTTGCACAATGAGGGCAAGGCGGCTGCCTCTGGGTGGACTCCCTCGGAGATGGGCGAGCGGAGACAACGACAGCTCGAAAACGGTTCGCAGACCCCTCCCGGGGTCCACACGCACCACTCTCCCACGCTGCGTGAAACTGTGGTGACGAGGGGCCCCCCGAAGGCCTAATGCCATTGTCTCGACTGGCCCTCCTCTGGCTCCCCCGTTGCCGTTGGGATCCTCCGGGTGGACCGGCTCCCCTGCCAAGCTCACCAGCCGCCGAAGAGCCAGCTCCACGTGGGGCTCCGCGGAGACGTTGCCCTCCACCCCGGCGAATGCTCCGTCCTGAGGGGGCAACAATGCACCGATACCGGATGCCGCGATGCACTCCCTGGACCTCTCCAGAGGTGCGCTCTGACCATGCTTCTGAGGCGAATCCACCTGTGGCGACGAGGGAAGGGGCAAGGGCATCGATGATACTATTCTCCTCCTCTTGGAGGAGAAGGTAACGGCATAAACGTCAGCTTTCGGAGCTCCGCGCAGGTCTCCAGGATCAGCGCTGGACCCCGCTCCCTGGCGCGCGGAGCGCGCCAAGGGCGGCGCCAGTGGCACCGCCCTGGGGGGCCCAGCGCCGATACCGCGTGCCTATGTAGTTTTTGTTGTTCTGTTCTTCGGTTTCTGTGCCTTTTTATGCCTATTCTGCCTATGCCTATTGTACCGTTGTGTGCCTATGCCGTTTTCCCTTCTTCGGCTTCTATGTCTTCTGAGCCTGTTATGCCACTGCATCTTGGGCTTTTTTATGCCCTATGCCCAGGGGTGCTCCGGCATTTGATGCCTATGCCTTTCCCTTCGGCTTCTGGCGTCCAGCGCCGCCAGGCCAGCCCTGGCCCCCAGCCCGGAGCCAGCGGCGGGGACCTTGGGCGTTGTGTCATAGGGTGGCGATTACACGTCGGCCGGAAGAAGTACGTCACAACATGAAGTAGGAAGGCGGATCAAGTAGATAGGGCAAGGCCCTCCCAGAGCATAGCATAACACAACAACATTTCGGCTCTTGACCTAGGAAAGCGCTTGAAATAGATCGGGATCTGGGGATCCAGAAGGATCTACGTTCAACGACCGGCGTGTAATGGGGGGCCACGGAAGGTGCACCCTTCGTGTCGCTTCTCTAGCATGGCGGAAACGGGTCCTGGACCCTGGGGCATTCCCCCAGGACGAGATCTTTATCATAAGCTGTTTCCTCACATTTCCAGGGCCCGTGGAGGGCCCCGAAAGCCTGAAAACGGCGAAACGACTCAGGACCCGCTTCCCTCAGGACCCGTTTCCCCCACGGCGACTTTGGGCCCGGAGGGGGCCCCTGTAGGGCACAAGAGGCACACATGTCCTCACCCTTATCTAAAAGGAACAAACAATGACATGAACATAACAAATCGGAGGTCCGCGCGGATTTCTCGGATCCGCGACGGACCCCCCCAGCGGCGCCTCTGGCGCCGCCCCTGGCGCGCTCCGAGCTTTCATGTTTACGTCATTGCTCCTTACCCTATATCGTCCATCGCCCTCTCATCACGCCACGCCCGAGGACCAGGAAGGCGCGGGCATCTGGGTGCATGCGCACGGCGGCGCCGCCCGGGCCCCGCAAGCGCACCGCCACGCTCCCGCCCGCGGCCAGCGCCGAGGCGGACAGCGGCCGGGCACTGGCCGTGACCTCCAGCCGCAGGTATCCCGTGCCCGCCTGGGGCGGCGGTGGCCGAGGAAGCGCACCAGCGACCCCGGGGCTCCGAGCAGCTGGGGCGGTCGGCTTGTGGGGCTCTACTTCTGACCTCCAGGGGACCCACGCGCTGGCCCCAGGGACGTCGACAGAACGGCTCAGGACGAAACGCCGGCCCTCTATATATACATATATATATATATACATACATATATATATAGAGAGAGAGAGAGAGAGAACAAAAAAATTGTGAGGTGGCTCAGACCTCCGAGGGTCCCCACGCATCGAAAAAGATTGAGCGCCAGAGGAAACGCCGGCCCTGTATATACAAAAAACATATGTATATATACATCTATATATATACACATATATATATATATGTATATATATATATATATGGGAAATGGCTCAGACCCCCGAGGGTCCACGCATCGAAGAATATAGAGCGCCGCATGTCTGGGGGAGCTGTGCCCGGCGGCGCTGCGGCGGCAGCGCTGCGGCGCGGCCTATGGCGGCGGCGGCGAGGCGGCGGCGGCCCCGCCTGGCTGGACGACGCCGCTGCGTCCGTCAGCGCGTCCCTCAGCGCATCCCAGGCCGCGACCTCGGCCTGGGAGGCCGCGAACCAGCCGCCACCTCTAAGGGGCTCTGGAAACGGCAGGGCCGTTTATTGTTTACCAGTTCCGTCTTGCCGGTTATGCTGCTGGTTCCGACGCCGTTGTATAGCAATTCCGTCGCCGTTTTCTGTTACCCGGTTCCCGGCTCCGGTTCCAGTCCTGGAGCCGTTTTTGTTGCCGTTTCAGGTCGCCGTTTTCTACCGTTCCCATTTTCAAGAGACATTTTTTCGGAAGCGGAGAAAAACGGCCCTGCCGTTTCCAGGGCTCACTAAGGCCGCCACCCAGGTCGAAGGGGCTGGAGAAGGCATCGTCCTCGCTGGCGCCCGCCCACACCGCCAGCCTGGCGAGCTTGACCCACCTGAGCGGCGCACAGAAGGGGGCCTTGCGCGAAACTGGCCAGCCTGAAACTGATCCCTGCCCCTCAGATCGACCATCCCGAGACAACGGTCAATCTTAGGGATGCCCCGTCAGAAAACCAGAAGGGCCCTGAAGATCGACACCGAGCCAAGGCGATGCGCAAACCGTATCTGCGGCCTCGCGGGCTGGGCCCCTGGACCGCGACCCCGCACATGCGGGGCTTTTGTGTCGCACCTGCCCAACGCGGGACGTATCCGTGCAGCCGCGCATCCGCAAAATCGCGCCCCAGGATCCGGATCGCGAGGGCGCGGATACGGAAATGTTCGCCGCTCGTGAACATGAATATCGGGTCGGGCGAAAGGGGGGATAGCAAAGGGGGGGCTTGAGAACCAGC